GATGCCGGGTTCAGGAATGTACTGCTCTCTGTTCTTCTGCAGGAGTGGATTGCCCTTTAGATTGTACCAGCCCAAGTGGATCAGACCCAGACTTGTACCCATCACAATCAAAACTTTGTAGTTCCTCCAGAACTGTCGCAGACCCATGATTGAAAGGCTCTGAGAAGATTCGTGAAAACAAACTTACTGTTAACTCTGTGGGCAAGTAGGAACCTTCCAGCTTACTGAATGTGAGCTATTTGAAAAGATTAATGAAAAATAACTGTGTGACCAAATCTGTACACAAAAGTTAACTCACACAGGCGCTTTACCCTATAAATGTATTGCACAACAATGGTAAATATACACATTTGAACATCTCTTGAAACAATAAATCTTTGTAGCTATTATCTGAGAAGGGAGAAACTGAGAGATGGGCTCGCTAGGGTTAGGTATGGGAATATCAGCAGCCAAGTAAAAACATGACAGCAGAATAAGCACGTTATTGAAGAGGTCTGACGCATAATAAATCATGTTATAACCCCAAATAATACGACCTTAAAGCAAACCTCGAGGCTTCGAACATCCCAAGTGACAGTTACCTAACCCGCTCACAGGGGAGGTTAAACAACTAGCAGTGATGCTAGAGGCTTTTTAGGGAGGCTTTCTGCCGTTGTCACTGCCTGACCACAAAGCCCAGTTGTAACAATTCAATTTAACCTTAAACAAAATGCCTTTGCTACTGCAAGGAAGCTTGTCTCACCTTCAGCAATCAGCTGCAGTTATTTCGCCGACCATGTTGTCATCCCACCAAATTAAGTAGCCCAAGAATATGCCTGATGACAATGACCCGCGCTGTTAGCGTTAAATAAAAGTACTGTCGCTGTGCTGCTTCAACTATCTGTCACAGTGTAGACGAGGGGACTTCTTTGTATGAAACCAGGCCAAATGTTTTTAGTGCATTTTGCTACAATAAAAACGTTGAATGTGTGTCAAAGAACTTACAGGAGATTTGAGGCAAATATAGGGGCAACGATAATAGTCACGTGACTTCAACAGAACGTATGTTTCCCTCTTCTTCTTCGTGATTTAATCGGCAGTTGACAAAAAAGCGTTCCATTAATATTAGCGCCACTTACTGGTGCAGAAGGGCCCAAATGTCTATTTCGTCCCATATTCAACTCATTTTTATGAAATGGAGAGTGAAAAAACTAAAAATGAGTACATTTTTTAAAGCTGGCCAGTGCAATGATGAAGACGAAGCAGCAGAAGAAAATTAAAATCCCGTGAAAATTTCGTTGCCCCTGTATTTCCTTCATATCTTTAGTAAGTTCTTTGACACACATTCAACGTTCTTATTTAAGCAAAGTGCACTAAAAATATTTTGCTTGGCTTCACTCAAAGAATTTCCCTCGTCTACATTGTGACAGATATTTTAAACATCAGGCCGTGGTGGCAGTGTGTGCCATCTACTGGCCATTAGAGGAACTGCAAGTGAGGTAAAGGTGGAATCAGCTACGTTTGAAAAAGGACTAAATAGTTCAATCCATTTGATTTTTTTTTTACCACTTCAGTGAGCCAACATCAATATGTGAAGTAATGTTAAAGGAAAGCATAAATTAGACAGAGTGGAATGGATGTGTTTGTTGGTAACCATGACAAGAAAGCCAAGATGGCGGGTGAGCGCTCTGCTAGCAAGATGTAGCGTGATGGAGTGTGGTGTTTGGTTACTTGGGGATTGTCAGGGTTCATTGAGTAAGAGGTTTGTGCAGGCATATTGAGAGGAAGAGACCAGAAGCGACTTCCGGTGGCCGGGAGGCATTTCAGCCCCAGTGTACACACACAACAACCGTGATCGCAGTGTATGTTATTGTTTGATTGAAAATGGGTTGGCGGCTGCCA